CTGGGAGACAGTGAGCACAGCTTTTGTTTTTACCTCAGCTACACAGCCTGAACACCAGCATGACGTTGAGGAAACTTATTTGCATTGCCAAGATTTGGATAGAAATAGGCACATGGTCAACAAAAACAGGTACAATTATGTAAAGGCGCCATCTGGAAACCCATTTGGTATGAGAGTCTGACACATTGTTCAACTAAAGCCCATTATCTCTGTCTCTCTCTCTCTGCCATCCTCTCTGCTGACGTGTCCAACAAAGCAACTAAACACTCAGTAGAGAGCACAACTCCGCCAAGGCCCAACAGTGCCCTTGAATTCAATCATCCAAGATCGAGATCCATGAATCATTCTCGGGGAAATCAATCCAAAGTAGAAAAATGGTTTATGTCCCAATTTTTAAGAGGGGGGAATCCCGGATTTGCCACCAGATCCAAACCAACGTTGAATGAATTCTCTCTTGTCCAGTTTTTTCATAATCCTGCTTACAAACAAACTAACTAGGGGCAAAAACCAAACCGCCTTGGCCGAGGTATATGTTTAAAATTGAATTCATGATGGATCAGTATTTCACATTCATTTGAATTACTTTCTTCGTCCAGGTCTCAGAGATCCAGGCCCTGTCCAGTCGTCTGGAGGTGCAGACGATACATTTGTCGACCGATCTGCAGCAGTGTGAACACAATCGCAGCAAGACCATCGCCGAGACGGCCAGGCAGCTGCAGCTCAAGCAACAGACTCATGATGACCAGGTAGATTTTGTCTGAGCTGCGATGAACACAATGTTCAGATGCGTGTGTGTGGCTGTGAAACCAGCAGGAATCAGTCTGTCCTCAGTATCTGGCTATAAAACGTACTGACGTTGTAACATTTACTGTTTGTGATAATCTCCTCCTGTTTTATATGATAAAGGGGAAAAGGAAATATGTTAATATTCCATTAACACATGAATATTTTGTTCAGATTGAAAAGTTACTGAAGGAGCAGAACAGGTTGAGGGACGAGAAGAAGCTGCTGGAAGATCGTTTGGCCCTAAAAGACCAAGAAGTCAGGACCCTGCTTTCTGCTCCAACGGCTTTTAAGGTAAAATAAACACAGATGATGTATATAAAGGATACAGAGGATATATGACCACTTTGTTATTTTGTCTGACATGAAATTAATGATGGAGAGGAAGTGCCTTGATACTCGAGACAGAAATCCATTCAAGTGTTAAACTGCTCTATCTTCACTGAGGGGATAGACGTTAGCAAACATCAGGTTAAAAAATCCACTGCTCAAACCTTCAGGCTAAATGTCCTGAAAGCACAAACCTTACTTAATATTGTGTGTTTGAGTTTTTGTGCTTGTGTTCATAAATAAGATTTTCTCGTCTGATTATACTAAACTACAAGAGTCTGCGCTGCAGCAGGAAAGACGGACGAGGCTAATTTTAAGTCATGAGTTCACAAAACAATCTCATCTCTGATTCCACAGTGTAGGTGTTCATGAAGAGTGTGTGTAATGTTATTTAATGTCATCTTGTCTTGCAGGCTGGTTTTCCTAAACTGGGAGGCCTTCAGGCTGCGTCACAGCTGGACAGACAGACGGTGCCTAACTGGCCGTCTATTGGTGCAAACGGCATCAACAAACCTCCAACGGTAAACTAGAATTTAAAACGTGCAAATGTACTATTTATTAAAAGGTTTTAATATTTTCCTGGTTTTTTTTGTTCACTGTAAGAATCAATTTAAACACTTTCATTCTAGTGTTTTTGATTTTGCGTGTTTTATTGTCTCACCTCACTGATGGTTAATTCTGGTCGTTAATGTTTTGTCTTCCAGGGGAGATGAAAGGAAGCAGCAGAGTGTATATATGAATATCGTGATCCTGCCCAGTCCATCAAACACAACCTGTAAATACTCAGCTTCCTGTAAATGACATAGTCACTGTGGTGCATGCTTTGTTTAGCTCGACTTTAAACTGAACATTCATTTGTGTTTCACTCGCGTTTGAGTTCATTTACTGTGAAAAGTCTTTGTATCTTTACTCTCAGGTAAAAAAAAGGTCAATGACACTGGTGTAAATATTTTCTCTTGTGTGTCACTCACTGTGATCGATGTAGTTTAAGAAATGACACTGGAACTTCTTTGTATTGCCGATGAATTAAAATGACATGAACTGAAACAACTCTTGTTCCGCCCCCCCCGGCCTCTTGTGTCTTTGTGACAGTATAAATACAACAATACACTCGTCCACTATAAACAGAATAATCTTAAAATAGCTGCATTTGTGTTTCCTGCCAGTTCACACGTTTGAATTTCTCCCAGATCCCGGATGACAACACACATCCAGCGAGTCATAAACACTTCATCACAGAGTCATCAGTCATCCTAAACAATGTACAGAGGGAAAAACGAAAAGGAAGAAATGAGGCGTGAACTGGACGGATCGTTGTGGTTTTTATTGCTAACGAAACAAAGACAAGTTCGGACTGGGAGTTTATTAATTGGCATTTTAATGGCGCATTTCAGCTCAGTAGCTGTTACATGAACTTCCCTCAAGCTTTACTACTTCCGTTCATTTTCCTTTCATAAGCACAAAGCCATGAGCACATACAGTCGTGTAGCTGGTGTTTCCTATTGTATGAATGTGTTCAATCATAAAGTATGAAACAACAGGACACAGAATTAATATAAATGTCAAATAAAACAATTGCATATAGTTATGTGGACAAATGCTATAAATTGTCATGTTTAAGAGTTGATGTGGCCGGTAATGATTTTAGTATCTGAAAAGTTCATTATCATTTCTTATGTGAATGCTGGAGGTTTATAAAATCAAACCAAAATGTAAGTTGAAGTAAAAACCTGAAATGATGTGACCTGTTTTGAATAATTTAACTTTCAATGTTACACAGACAGCAGGACGTGCAGTAACTAGGGGTAGGTACAAAAGGTCTTATACATTTCTACATTGGTTGTTTTTCAACTTTAGATTTTATTTTATTTTATATATGTTTTATATTCCTTTCTTCTGATCAAAGACTGTACTTTGCTTTAATGAGAAAGTTTAGTTTCTTACACTCTTGGCTCCAGCCCGTCTGTGACCTCAAAGTATTTTCTGTAGACACTGCAAGAGGTGAAGCTGATGGAGGGATGTAATTTCTCACATTGTGAAACTCTGAGATATTCATATTTTAGATTTGCCTCCATTGTTCATCTCAAGAACAACAGATACATGTCAATAGTGAAGATTGTGAAAGTAATATCTCTATTCTTTATTTGTTTGATCATGTTGTATTTTATTACGCCTGAGAACATCTGACGTCTCCGCTTTAAACCAAAGAATTTTCCTAAACATCAGACGGACGTGGAAAAATAATATTCTCGTTTAGACTGAACAAATATTTCAGATGCCTTCAATGTTGCATAAGAAGTCATGAGAGTAAACTCACAGGACTGAGTGTTACAGGTGAGTCTGTCTGTCTCCTCTCCTGAGGAAATCCTTTGTTTAACATCAAGTGTTTTCAGTCTCACGTGGACCTGGACACACTCTAGAGGGACATTAAGCAAAACCACAGGAAACTGACAGGACAGAAAACGAACAGCTCCGGTCATTTGTCAGCACTGAACAACCGTCTGACACAAAATTGAGTCAAGTCACGATGAGCGTCAACCCTTTATATTTTGGTTCTTTAATTTCATACGTTTAAAAGTACACATTTATTATTTTTGTTATGAAAAATTAATATTGTGTGACTTTTTTTTAGAACTTAAATTGTTTGTTTGACATTGGATTACATTATTGATATATATAGTCACACGTAGTGATTTCTAACTTATCTTTATATAAATGTTATTCCAGTTAAGTGTATTCCAGCTCTGCTGTGACAGTCAGTTACTTAATCAAGACTGAAATACAATTAATCAGTGGATTTACAAATCTTGGACAGATGTTAACTTAACTGGCTTTTCCTCTGGCAACCGTGATGCTGACATTTCATTTTACAGTGCCGTGAAGATGATCGGGTCAAAACTTCACCTGGTTCTTGAAACAAGTGGAGGGATCACCAAAAACGTTGCCGATGCTAACACGCTGATGTTTAACAGGTATGATGTTTATCATGTTAGCCATCTTAGTTTATCTAGAGCTAATCAAATCGATCCTTAAGGGATCGTAAATGTCTGTGTTTCTTTTGTCAAATCATTCAGTAGTTGTTGAGATATTTTAGTTGGACCTGAGGTGCTGGAGTGTTACAGCCTCAGTGTTCATGAAGCTGAACGGCCATTAAGGATAAATCAGGTTAAATAACAACATTATTTTAGTAACAATGCACCAAAGGGAAAACAGTTTTGTATTGTGGTCAACAGAACAATCTTCAGGATATTACACACAAAAGCCTCCTTTGAAACGAACCAGGCCCCAAAATTTACTGCCTCTAATTTGTACGACAGCAAGAAGCACTTTTAGCTTGAACTTCCCTCGTGTCGCGATCAATCAGAGAGAACATGAAAGAGGAGAAAACGGCTGACAGAGCAGTGCGGAAAGAGGAAAGGTCCGGTGACGGAGTCGAAGGAGACAAAAAGCCAGCGTGATGGGCAGCAGGGCTGGTGTACAGTACGGTGAATGTCGTCAGAGACTGGGAGGCAAGAAACCAACTGGGGAAGAAGGGTGAGGAGGTCAACAGGGAAGCATAAATATTTGATCAAGGCCAGATTGACAGGAGAACAAAGGGCACAGAGAGCATTGCCTCCTGAAGCAAACCTTTCCCACAGAGGGGACCTGGGTCTGTCTGACTGTCTCACACAGAATGAAGGAGAATCGTAGCCTCTAATATATTTTATCTTTGGAGAGAACTGACTGAGATCTGTCTGCTTACAAATATTGCATCCTGTCAGATGGATGAGTAAATAGGTGAGTAACTCGTACAACTACAAGATAACATCTTAAAGTTGCCAGTCGGCCCCAAGACACATTTGATTTGTTACAAAAACACCCACAAAATTATTGTGACATCCAGGATCCACTGGAACATTTATTATTTATTAAAACTTTCACCAATTTTAAATGGTAGAATTTTACATAATACAACAAATAGCACATGTGAAGTAAATTTCTCATCAAAATCATTATAGGGATTTTGAGTTATCGCAACAACTACACACACACAGACACACGCCCACAAATACTCGCACACACACTCAGCTGAAATGATACCTGCTCCCCAAACAAATCCATCATTGTCCCACAGAACAAGTAAACATCCAATCATCGAGTGTATGACCTTGCTGAGGTCTGTAGCTGGCTTCACTTTAAATTATCTTGGCTGTTGTGTTGTGACCCTAGAGCCTAATACATGTATTCACATATCAAAGGGTCTGAAATTCTATTTTTAAATTACGACTCAAGACGAGCCAAACACTGGTCCGGCGTATGGGGCCTCTGAGGTACCTGTCGTCACGCTGAAACTATTTCAGTCCATTAAAAAGCATCGACAGAAAACAAACATGTTTGTGTCTTGGGAGCATTTTCTTCAGCCAAGAACAAGTTTTATTCTCTTCACTCTGGCTAAGCCGAGAAGTTTGGCACGAAGCCGAGGTTGTGCTCTTTTGTCTCGTTTTCTTTACTGGTCCAGCTGGCACAGCAGGAGAGCACAGCTTTCCTCTCCAAGCAGACTATTATCACATGTTTTCCATGTTTTCACTGCTACTCATCTGACTATTTTCCAATGCAGAAATCTTTGAAGATGATGTCCAGGATCTCCTCTGCCCCGACTCGTCCAGTGATCCGGCCCAGGCTGGTGAGAGCCAACCGGACGCCTTCGGCTGCCAGAGCGAGGTCGGTGTCGCGGTACAGCTTGTACTGAGCCAGGGCTGCCAAGCACTGCTGCAGGTGGGCCCTGTGGCGAGCCTGGGTCAGGATGGGGGCACCAGACAGGGGATCGCCACACCTAGAGAGGAAGTTAGAGAACAAAGTGAAACAGATGAGCAATAAAACTCAGTATTTTGTTTTTGGTTTGGAAATGTTGAAAACCAGACACACACACCCCCTCTACAAAAATCGGATTTTTAAAAGGATCAATCGGAAACAGAATCATTCTGTTTCTTTAATTTTGTTTTAATTGAATGTGCCACAGAGCAGGATTGAACTTTTCTGAAACCAAATCTTAAAAACTGCACAAACATCTGTGAGGAAGATGCAGATATTGTGATCCAGATGTAAAAGTATGAACGTTCAGTCATTTATCATTTGTAGTTTTAATCTTGATATAAATGTAAGAAATGAGAAGTATTGTCGATGAACCGTTGATGAATTCTTAGTCCTGACACAAGAGAATGAATATTGGTGCTTACAGAGTTTTGACAGAGCTGTCCAGCAGAGTGAGGAAGTCCTGCAGCCCTTCATCAGTGTGACACGAGATGAGACAGACAGGAGGAAGTCCAGAGACCTGTCTCAGCTCCTTGTCCAGCTTCTGTCTCTCACCTTCAGGCAGCAGGTCAGTCTTATTCAGCACCAGGAGACACCTGTCTGCAGAAAATTCTATCACAACTGAGGAAAATGATAATGACTAAAAACTTTAAGTCAAATTGTATATTTCATATATATATTATTTCCTGCAGCATTTGTTACAGTTGTTGATGTTTATGGGTTTATATATAAAGTTAAACTTATTATTTTATTCTGTTTTCTTGTGAATAGCCTTAAAGTCTCTTTGAGAGTCTCGATAAATGAAGATGCCACAGTATGATACCTGTGTCCGTCTGCTCCTGGGCGGGCAGCACGCTCCTCAGGTGTCCCTGAAGAAAAGCTGCAGCCTGCTGAGCGTCAGTGGCGACGAGAGCACAGTCCACAACCACCAGAGTCAGATCTGCCTGCTCCACCCTGGAAACACAGAAGTAATCACAGAACATTTTCACCTTCTCACACTGAATCTCAATCATGTACTGGTATAAAGCCAGGAGAACTGATACTGACACGAGATAACCAAAGATAAATATCTTAAGTTGTTGATATCGTATGATTCTCCTTCTGTCTTCTAAAAGTTCATTTGAAGTTTTTGAAATTGATTTGTTGTTTAATATTAATATTCTTATCAAATACTCTGCAGCTCTGTCTCACTGCGACGCAGCAGCAGCAGCAGCGGATGCTTGTACTTACCATGTCCTTCCTGTAGTGACCCAGGTCACGAGCCTGTGACCTGCTCCCTGCACACAACAGTTCCCCACAGAACATAAACTGCCCACCCTTCCTACACTTAACTTAAACAAACAGCCTAAGAATTACAGAATATTTGCACTGAAAAAGACATTTTAGTCATCTGATATTCATCTGTTTATTTTTCATTGATAGTTTCCATCTGATTCTGTTACGACTCACCAAATAATATTTAAAATGAATAAAAAGCATTTTCAACAGTTTTATTTCCCATTGAAAATTGCTGTGTGATGCTTTTCAACTGGCCAGAACTGTGGAAAATATTTACCTCCACCTAACTCTTGTCCATTTGTTTGTCAGCTGGTTATTTAGCAGGATTACGGCAAAACTACTGGAGGAATTACCACGAAACTTGGTGGAAGGATGTGATTAAATGAAACTACATCCTCTGGAGCTGATCCAGGATTTTTAAATAAAAAAATCAGACATGTTTAGAGGACAGATATTTACAGTGTGAGTACATGTATGAGTCAGTGTGTACCAGGCTTCTACTGTCTGTGTATGATAAAGCCGTGATGACGAGTGCCACGAGCTCGGCTATTCTTCCCTGATGTAAACAGTGGAAGCAGCTGCTGGTAAATGGCCATATATGTCCTCTCTCTGCATCGCACATGAAGAACCTCTCAACACTGGAAAAACTCCACAACGAGGAAGGTGGCTCTTCCTTACGCAACCTCCTGAGAGTGTTTGTCCCGTGTATTTATAACTGTGGCTCAGCATAAAATAAACTCTGGAGGTTACACAGACATTACAAAAATATAGCATGATGTACAAGGGAAAACAATTGACTAAGTTCTTCCTTTCTTTGTTCCCAGTGACATATTCCACTGTTCCCCAGCCTAATTTGTTCTGTTATATTATACACATTCAAACAGCAGAGCAGTTCTCTACACATTTCTATTGTCCTGTGACGTTACGCTGCATCCTGGAGTCAAACATTCTAAATATTAGCTGTGATTTCTCAGGATTGTTGGTCGACTTCATCAAAATCCTGAAAGAAAGTTATGTAACCGATTAAAATTTTCCATTTGCTTCTGCTCCCTACCTCTCCCGAGCTCTGCGGACGCCCTCTCTCTCCACCAGGTCCGAGCTGTCTCTGAGGCCTGCCGTGTCACTCAAGAGGACGGGGAAGCCACCGATGTCCAGAGCCGTCTCCACTATGTCCCTGGTGGTCCCAGCAATGGGGGACACAATGGCAGCAGGTCTCTGGCCTGGATTGAAAAAAGATGAAGGATGAGGCTGGTGATTATCTGGTTTTCTTTTTTGGATTGGACTCAAAAGTTTCTTCTCACCAAATCTGTAGTTGTCAGCCCTGAGGTCAATTTACTGGAGATATGAAACTTTCCATAAACAGTTCAAATATTTACAAATTCATGGTGAAAAAACAAAGGTCATTTCCTTTAACAGGAGTAAATAATGAGACTATTTCCATTTTACACTTTTAATGCTCTTGTGAGTATTTCAGAGGAAAGTTAAGGTCATTGCATTTCTGTGGATCAGCCATTCATGGGCTTGCATTGTCTTCCCTGTATTAAAACGCCTCCGAACAATAGTGGCGCTCTCTAATGAAGACATTAGTCAATTGTTTAAAACCAATTGTTTTCTTGATTTTGTTGCATTAAACTGATCATTAATGAAGAAGAAAGGATCTTTTTTCTGTGATAACAGAACATTAACTCTTCTACTACTTTTTTTTTTGCTGAGGTTCTGTGCTATCCAAACACAACAGGGGATATTTTCTCGTCATCCTTTCCGTTTTTCTTTATTCAGGAACTCACGGGTCCAAGACTCCAATGAATCCCACATCCACTAACGCTGACAGCTCATTATTACTTGTCTGTGCCTTCTGGACACAGTGAAGAATAATCAGCACAGGAAAAGATAACAGCATTTTATCTTGAATTTGATAAATAACCCTATTATTCTGATAGGAAGCTGTGAGGAGCCCCGGCCAAGCCTCCACTCTGGATAGTTTATATAATGTGCTTCCTTATGATTTCAGGATACAATATCATAGACAAACATAACCTCACACCATAAACAACAGGGGTTTCATTATGACGACACCAACGACGACAGTGATTCTGTATCGTTTGGCCTCTATTGTCTGCTTCAACACAGATTATTATTCAAAAGTCACACATGATAACTGTGTGTGTGTGTGTGTGTGTGTGTGTGTGTGTGTGTGTATATTCACTGGTTTCCTTGGTTCTCTTACAGAGTGTGTTAAGGAGGCTACTTTTCCCCGCGTTAGTAGCTCCAGCGATGACCACCTGAACTCCACTGCGAAGCCGCTCGCCCTTCCTCTCGTCCTTTAAGTGTCGCTCCATCTCTGCTTGTAAATGGCTCACCGATCTGTCCACTGCGAGGGGCGAGTGGAGTTGGAGACAGAGGAGGGAACAGGACATGACGACAGTTTCACGTTCAACTTGACGTTTGTGGCCTTGGAAAAGGAATTTCTGTCCTTTGAAGGAAAAAAGCCTCTCGTCCTGCGTCTGACACCCTTCGTCTAGACGATAAATGGGTCATGGACGCGTCTCTTTCCCCTCTGACTGAAGCGGAAAAAGTGTGTTTGACAATGCACCGCGTCAACAATAAGTCATTTTTCTTAAAGAGAATGAATTTTACTTCTTAAAGATTTAGACTTGAGATAAAACTTCAGATGTGACAGAAACCATTTGAAACGCTGTATCTTTGAAGGTGGAAATGGAAAGTATTTATGCCAGATTTTCTATTTATGTACCACAGTCTTATTAGTATTTGCTCGGAGGCATGAGCCAACATTTCGTGCCACCACAACAAACACTAGTTCCCAGGGTTTATTGTGTCACAACTTCACAGCTTGTGAGGCTCTCTGAAGAGCTGTGCCAGTGCCAGACAGTAGGCGACAGTCTCAGGGGGGACATCCCTCTTATGCACATGCACATCTACACGTATAGACACACACACACTGCAAGCATGGGAAACCTGGCCGTACAGACAACAGTTGGGCTGCAGACGATGCTGCTGGCAGCGTTGTTCCTGTGATTGGCATGGCAGCTTCCCTTTGAAGGTAAGACGAATGCTTTTACTGTCCCCCTGCTCTTCCATCCACACATCCTAAAGGAAATTGCCCTTTGAGCAGTTTGATGTCTATAGCTTCTCCCCACTGTGCAGCAAACTCACACGATGGCACATCAAGATCCAAACAGGAAGACAGCCAGGCTCGTCTCTCTTTAGAGAGAAACAGAGCCATCACACCCGCATGCCTCCCTCCAAAGCCCCAGAGACGACAGTCCTGTTATTTTTCCCCAGCACACAGGACAACGTGCACACATACCTTGGTTTAAGACCCCATCCTCAATGAGTTCATCCTCGCTGAAGTCGATGAAGGCCTCGACATGAGCCAGACACTGTGACACAAGCAAAACAGAGACGAGACATGAGAAGAAAAAGAAATATGTCATCTATGTCATATATATTTCTTCTATTTCTAAGTTTATTTGTGTGCTGGCAGTGAACAGAAAACTAATGTAAAAAATATATGTAGCTATTGCCACAGCAGCTCAAGTGGATTTATTATAGTTAAGCAGGTTTAATTATTTATTTAAACCCAGATAAACTAATTAATTTAAGATAAAACAGTCATACTCACAGACTAATACTTTTGGCTCTCATATTTTTATTTGTAAGTGTTCACCATCACATTTATTCAGTGTAGGTACACGCTGCATTTTGACATTAGATAATAACATATAAAAGACTTCCTCTGGTCTTTTTCCAGGACTCAACTCAAATCATTGCAATTCAATTATCTGTCTTTACATCACTTCCTGAGATTTGTGTGAATCTATATAGATAATATCTTTATGATATCTATCTATAGATCATCAGTGTATTAACCATGGCACCGCTCAGTATCTTGAGTGACATTGCTGGACAGAAACACAATAGTGGTATAGCAGCACAAAAACAGGAAGCGTCAGATTCCCATTCTTTAATCCTTTCACAGAAGTGGGAAGCCCAAAAAAGCTGCATTGTTTGGGTGTCAGATGAGGGTTTGACCCACAGCATTATACAGATGGTATACTTCCTATGCATTTCCAGAAATCTGAAAACAAAATAAAGGCCTGGTTCAGATTGTTTCTTGGAACTTTCTTAAGAAAGCTGCTGACAAGCAGCTCAACAGAGTTTCTCAGGGGAGAAGACCTGGACCACCTTTTCTGATCCGGAGCCAAAGTGTTGCAAGGTCCCTCGTCTTTATTTTCCAAACAGTCTCATAGTTGGGGAGGTTTGGCTCGAATCCACTAAGTCTAAGAGCTCATGTGTGGTCAGTGACCTGCTGCTCTGAAGTGACTCCATAAAGTAAAAGGAACCCTCACCCTCTTTCAGGAGTTGTAAACAAGAAACACCTAATGTCACTGAAGTCATCATATCAGGGTAAAGAGCAGCCTGTAGCGTAGCTGGAAGTCTTATTAAAGAAATGTGATGTAAGTTATCTAACCCAAACAGTTTATATGCAGAAAGTTCAGAACAACAAAATACAGACAGGGCTTTGACTCAAGTATCAATTGGTGCAAGACAACCATGCATCTGAGTCTGATCATTACAATGACCAGACATTATGAAGCTTTCAACAACAGTACAGTCACAAACGCCTGTTTGAAATTTTACACTTCCACCTCCACTAAACATATTGACGTCAACACTGACCAGACTCTCCCTATTCATATGTACAGTATATACAGGATACTGTGTAGATAAGGAAAACAATACTGCTGCACAGAACACATCAATATGATGATTTACTGCCTGTCTATGTGTGTGTGTGTGTGAGAGAGAGTGTTTGAGTGTGTGACAGTGTGTGAGAATAATTCATGGATCTTGATGATGAGCATATTTAGGGGATTGATACTCAGTTTGTGCAATTTGGTGCTGATCCAAATTAAAAATCTGGATCAAGTGAGTTTAAATGTGTTTTCATAAAGGGACTGTTGGGCTTTGGAGGAGCTATGAGCTCTACTGAGTGACATTCTAGGACCAAAATGCATTTTTCAAAGCATCTCTGCCTCCTGTGGGACTATAGACCTAAAGTTTCTATAGATACAAGAATAACTCCTCATGATATGGAAGGATAATGACATCCCACTTCTTAATGACATCATGATGACCTCATTATGATATTACATTAATTCAAACGTTAGGTTTGCCTGATTAGAGTTTGTACGGGGCACGCAGAGTACATCACCCCTCTGAGGCTTTTCATTCATCTTTGATTCATCCAAAACAATGCAAAGCCAGATGCCCAGAGGTGGAAAAAACATTTAATAGTCACTTGAGGGAAGGTGGAACAGCAGCATGGTACATTGCAGGCGATGCTTTTTTAAAACCTCTTGTTCTTTGAAAGTCAAAAATAGAGCTGAGACACTGGATTCTTACTGGTGGCTTTCCTCAGGAAAGTCCAAATTAACCCCTCGACGGGTCGATCAGCGGCTCAGATGCCAAGACAGTAAAGAGTTACACCGAACACTTGTTTGTACTCACGACAATGTTTCTAAACAGAGTCACAGTGCTGAGCAGACGTCTCTGCCATCTGACATCATCACATGATAACGTTCATGGATGAAGTTAATTTGCTCCTTCAGTCATGGAAGGAATCAAACTCTATCTTCAGGGACGTACATTTCAATATAAATGAAAACAGGTTTACTGGAAGGGAACAAACACTTGTTGTCCACTAGTTGTGGAAAAACTTTTCTGAAAGTTAAATAAAATGTTTACACTTATATAATCACTTATATTTTACTATTCGAACCACTGTACTTAGTAATAATGGCAGCAGTAGTAATAGTATTCCATTTAATAATAAATATAAAAAATAACTTTCTTTCAATTGAATAGACTGATGTATTTGATATGAAATATATAATTTATAAAATATCATCAAGTAATTAATACGTCCTATCAGTATGTCACCTGTGTCCTCTTAACTCCAGACTGGGTTTCCTTTTGTAGAGTAAAAGTTTTTTCTTTTCTTTCTTTTCTTTGACTTTTGCTTTTGTTTTATTTGTTTACTGTTATTTTTCCAGGGCAGAAAGGGATGTAAGATAAATATCTACATGTGCAAACACATCAGTATTTTGATTCTCAGTATTGAACAGAAAACAGACGCGCTTCACGTGTTAGTCACATGAAAACAGGAAGCCTCAGAGTCCAGTAAATGAATCCATCAACAGTGTGGAGCAAGAGCAGCTGCAGAGTTACAAAAAAACCCAGAAAGCATTGTTTGGGTGTGAAAATACTGAGGCCTGACCTACAGTCATGGTACCAGACACGAACATGTCTCTCCAGGGAGAGCTCCAGGATTTTGGCTCGTTGCTGCTGAGAAGCTAACGCAGGATTGGACACATTTTAGGTTTTTTTTTTAAAAGACAACTTGTAAATCTGTCAGTTCAAAGACAACATCTGGCAGAGTCTGAGTCACGTTACAGACCAGAACACATCAAGTGTGATCACAGGTCAGAGAGAAACAGAGACATGTGATCTTCAAACATACTGAAGAACCATTAAATACACAGGTTTCTAGAGTAAATATGAAATGACTGAAAGATATCATAAGTAAAATCTCTACAAATAACAAGACGTATGTTGAATATTTTGTTGACATATCTGATATTTCCTGTGGATATTTCCTGTGGCATATGACGTATGAAGAAGGAAAAACACAGTGAGCCAATTAGCCAGTCGGCTGTTTCTTCCATCCACTGTTTGTATAGGTCACTTTTAATGGTTCACAACTATACATTTACATTTGCTGTGTAATGTGAATGAAACCTAATCTGTGAACATGATGAGCGTCTGCGTCAGGTAGATTTTCATCAGTAATCCAAATGAAAGCATCTGTCTGCATGTCTAATTGTCCAGCATGTATAGAAACCTCTGTCTCTGTCACCAGTCTTTCGGGTACAAACGGTCGACCTACCCGTTTCAGTCTGTGGCTCCAGTCTTGGTAGAGGCGTCCCAGATCTCCTGACATCTGCCTGAGAGCCTGTCTCCTCTGGGCCTCCGTCTCAGCGTGGATCAGATCCCCGAGTCCCTCCACCTTCAAGCAGCATTATACAAGTTAACGACAGAAGTACCTGTTATACATTATTATGCTGCAATATCTAGTATATGCAAATATTTTGAATAACAAAATGACTCAAAAATCATGTTCTGGGTTATCAAAACAACTGACTGCATGGTTTTATAAAGTTGTATGTTCTTTTTGTTTTACCCAGGAAACAGTTTTCCTCTACCCAATTCTTCCTTCCTTGATGGAATTTTAAGAAGCATTTTGATAATTTATTTGCAACTAATTTTATTCAATTGTCATAATAAAAAAAGAAACACCAACAAAAGTACTGAATAAGTAAACCTACTGTATAAACACAAGGCAATATAAAAAAATAGAGGTAATATATTCAATTTAAATAGAATATATAGAGAAATCTAAATCATAATAGTGCTAAACATTAAACATAGAATATCAACAGCCGCTTATTAACACTTAGAGCTTTACACTTGGCTGCTTTAAAATGTCCTCAGAAAAGCTCAGTGTTTTTAAGTGTTCATCTCGACCGACCTCTGTTAAACCCAGTTTCCCAGCTTGAAAGGCCCTCCGCGTGAACTCCCCAGCTTCAGCAGGCCTCATGCCAGGCACGCTTCCTGAGAAACACAAACACAGCATACAAAAAATGTATGAGGTACGAGGAGACCATGCATCTTGCACACAAAGTGGGCTTGTGCGCACACACACACACAAACAGAGGAGGATGAAACACAGGGTGTCAATCAGGGTTACCGACAGCGCAGGTTAAAAGGTTACATTTTCAGTGTTTTCTCAAACGTTTTTACAGGTCTCATCAGGGGGAGACAATGGTGAGCATAAAACCATTTGGCAAATGGAGGTCATGATCTGTAAACAACGGAAAAATATACTATTCAACATTCTGCTGGCTGGTTATAACCTCTCCAACACTGTCAAAACATTTTAGTTTAACAAAATAAGAATTATTCACAACTTGTGACATCACCTGAACAGTGAGAACCTGATATTGACTGATGGTTAACTTCTCTCATTGTACAACACTGCCATCTAGAAGGTCTGTGGGAGAACTGCAGTAAAGCTATGACTTGTCAATCACAGGAGGAGCGCTACACTTGCAAAGACAAATCTTATAAGCTTCATAGAAACAGGAATGCAAGTGTCAGACTCCTCTTTGAAGTCGCAGTGATCGACGGTGACAGGATTCCACTAGAATCTGTATTTAGATGTTTTCTGCAGGTTTAGAGCTTGAGAGGTTGGGGCTATAGAGACAAATATACCATCAATGCCTTGCAAAGTAATGATGCATCATTGGAGACTGTTTGTTTGTATTACACTGGATTATATCAGACTCATTAAGACATCTGGATGTTACCTAGACCCTGTAAGACAGCGGTGATGACAGCAGAACCACCGTGGATGTGGAACTCAACACTGTCCTCTCCTGTGAAACTGTGAGGAGCTGGTGACAAGAACACAAGAGACACAATATTATTTAGTCTTTCAAATACAGCAGCTAAAGGGAGTTTAGATGTTTAGAAATACCTCAATTAAACTACAAGTGGGTGACACTGATAAAGCTTCAGATATTCACAAGGTTAAATGATATGATTAGATAAAATAAATCAGTGTGTGTGTGTGTGTGTGTGTGTGTGGTCCAAGGGAACAGACCTGGGAACCAGATGACGAGACCTCGGTCCAACACTTCTTTGTCGTGGGGGTCTGTGATGTTGCGCAGCAGGGCGGTGCGAGGAGGAGGTAGGCAGTGTGTGAGCCCAGCCATACACCGCAGTGCTGTAGCTGAGGACGGACCGCTCACTCGCACCACAGCGACCCCACACCTGCCATGACCTGACGACAGTGCAAAGATAGTCTCAGCATCAGCCAGGGCGGCTGGGGTGCTGTCGTGGGGGGTGCAGTCATGGGTGTTCAGGAGCCTGAACGCTGGAGCTCTTCTGCTGGAGAAGAGGAAATAATAAGACGACGCACTGTAACCTCTGATTTCGTGTTTAAATAATAACGTAAGTCATCGTTTGTTCTTATATAAGCTTCCAAAACATCGTATGAAAATAAGAAATAAAAGGCACAAGATAATAAGTTTCAAATCAATGAAGTCTCATTAAAGGTAAAGATTAAAAAGCTTTTCTCTTTGCTAATTGATTCAAGGTTGCAGGGAAATGTTTCTTCTTACACTTCATATCTGTTAATGTTGTGATGTATTGTTGTGATTAGGACATGATAGAAAAACATCATCAATAATTATCACAGTATAATTTCCATCAATAGCAAGATAACAAAAGTTCAATCTATATCTAATGTATTGAATATGCATTGTGCAAGTTAAATGAGCCAAGATGAACCAATAAAGACGAGTTTCAAACCACGACCTTCACTCAGGAGGAAGAATCAGTCTGTCAACTCAGGAGAAATAAGAGAAGGGACATTTGCTGTGACAGTAATTGACGTTTGATCTTTATGTGATTGTGTCTGTGTCGTCCAGCTCTAGAATGTCATCGGTTATATTTTTGTCTGATGATGTTTTGACTCACATTTACAGGTTTTCATTCACTTGAACTGTAAAGATCTAGTGTCGAGCACAAGGACAACATGAATCGAGGCTTGTGAGCAGAAGTTGACCTTCAGGGCACAGACCTGGTTCTGAGTGTGTGGACGGCAGCTCTCCACATCCCACGACCGACACTTGGAAACATGACTGAACGACTGTGAGACCAGACCTTCGACCTGAGGCGGATTCTAGAGACTGAAGCAGGAAAACCAACATGGTGAACAGTTTCCTCTGTGAAGCTCAGTCTGCACAAACCCAGCAGCTGAACGGAAACTGATAAATCTCCCTACATGTGTTTAATCCTGTGAGAAGTCTTCATTTACAGACTCATGCTTCTCTAACAACTGGTTCCGTCTCCATCGTTCACTTCGCGAGTCCGTCCCTCCCCCCGCTGACTGTGATTGGCCAGCGCAACAACAACAGAGACGGTATTTAGATTTCTATTCGTCAACAACCCGTCAATCTTATCTAAGACCCGCCTTACTGTACGCAGTTGAATTTCGTCCGTGTTGCTACTGACGCTTTGTTTTTACGTTCCTATATGATTCTGCTGCACGACTGAATATAAATAAAATAAATAACATTAAACTTCATTAAAAATAACGAATAAAGATTCGTTTGGACAAAGATCAATGTTAACTTTAATTTAGTTTCTATTTTCAACTTCTTTATTTGATTATTTTTTATAATAATTAACTCTAAGTTTCTGATTTCATTATTACTATTTTCCAGTTTCTACTATTTATTGATATTGTTAATTTACTACCAAGTCAGTCATTAAACATTAAGTAAGTAATAAAGTATAATTGCTGATTAATGGATACATTAGGTTGCAAATTAAAATGACATAGTAGATCATAAAGTACAACATAAAGTAGATCTGTTCCTGTTATTATCAATTTAAAATATATATTATATTATATATATATATATTTGGGGAATACCAAGCAAAACAATCTGCTTCTTCAAATATATAATATTTTGTCTACATGTAAATCGGTATTTGAACAAAATAAAACAAATAAAAAAACATTCAGGGGTGTTTCTGATGTTATCATATAGCAAAGAGGGTAGACTAAACATTAGAAGCATTTCTCAGTATAATACTATGAGACATCAATATCACAAAGGACAGTCTAAAATTATTAGTAACACAAAAAATGGAAATTAAAACCATAATTCAAACTATGCCGTTGTTTGACTACATTGGTTTTTACATTGTTCATTAACCTGCCACTGAGTGTTCTGTTCGTTTCAGTATATCAAGTTTAATTGTTCTGCCATAACATCAATCTAAAAAAAGAGAAGGCCCCACTAATTGTTTTATTATTCATCGCTTGGATTGTGTTTTTGTTTTTTGTACAGTATAGTCTGTAGTTTTTCATGAACTGCACATCATTCAAATCACAGAATATAAGCCATGTGTACTCCACTGCAGCTTCTTGCAGCTGTCAGCCCAGAGGGTGGTGAATAAGCACAATTTCTGCTCGCATATGAGATGCTTCTGAGTCCCTGAGCCATGGGGGGAGGGCTGCCAGCCTGTCAGTGTGACTGCAAAGTGAAACACAGCATCCAGGAGGGCCAACAGCCAACGTGATAGACTGTGTGCACTCTGAAGAGGCATGGCCTGAGGCCCGGGGAGCAATCTTTAACCTGGGATCTCAATAATTTATAGACGAAGTTCAGTGTGTGTGCACAATGCGCGACAGCTGCCACCTCACAGCTGTTGAGCACCATCAATACAAAAAGACGGTTAATCAGGCAATTGATCTGAATACAATGACAAATTCTCTTTGTTAGGAGCAAATTACCCCCACACTCCTCACACACACACACACACACACACACACTGTGGTCATCTATGACAGGGATGCATATATTAGTAGAGGATCATCTGACTTAGTTGACACCATCCATGTTTATTTTGAAGGATGTGAGTTTGTATAAGGTGTATTCGTACTTTGACATTAGTCGACCATTGTTTGCCCATTCTGAAAGACATATGACAACTATGATTGGACACGACAACACAGTTTGACCTTTTAAGTACAGGAAGTCGTGTGCACAGTGAGTTAATGTGGATAAATGATAAATTAATTGTTGTCTCTTTTTGAGTCAAAGTATAGCATAACATAGCATAGCATAGCATAGCATAGTATAGCATAGCGTAGTATAATATAGTCTAGTATAGTAGGCCTATAATGATAAAATAATGAAATGAAAACATATTTTATACAATAAACTCTTATTATACAGCTGCTGCATTCTGAGTGTGTCTTGTGTCCGGTGCACCGAGAGGAGACATGTTTTGTTCCTGGACCTCAGTGTAACTGAAGATATTGTGGTATGAAAAACATTTTTTACATTAATAGATAAGTCATAGTCTATTTAATCTTTGAGCACATGCAGGATGAAGTGATTACTGCTTTTTGAATTACTGGGAAGAGCAAACTGTAAATCTATATGTGAGAACAAGATGTTGTTAGTGCATGGTTGGGCATGTTTCCAATTAAGAAGGTTAAAGTTATCAGTGTGTAAACCACACATTTGACTTTATTTCATATATATATGTCGCCATGTGTTGTAGTTCTACCTCAACATTACAGACATAATCAAGCTGTAATAAAACTACAAACATGGCGGTGGGGTTTTGTTTTTTGATGTGGCCACTTCTCATCTTTTAGAAGGGTTAGGGTTTATAGTAGGATTAGGTTTATGTTAGGGTTAGG